GAGTTTACACTTTCAGACATTCCATTTGGATGGAATTCTTGGCTTGGCTTCTTCACTGATTAGACACAGCCTGCTGCAAGCTTATGACTACACAGCAATTAGGGAAAATGTATGTCTCCCTATCTTTTCCTATTAGAACCTCTGATACAATCCAAGTTCCAAAAAGGATCTGGAGGCCAAGAGCTATATTCTTCTAGGATAATGCCATCCTTTTAAACCTGGGCCAGAATAGTAAAAAATAAAAAGAACATCCCTTATAAGCCTATCAATCCCTGTTGATATTCATTTTTCTCACTCATATGATGAAAAACAGTGGGTTTTTTTCTCATTATGTCAACATTTATGCACAAGTGAAAGAAAAGATCTATCATCCTGAGCAAGATTTTAAAACCTTAGGCACTTTGTTCATCTGAAGGTAGCACTATTCTGCTATTTATGGTGATTATGTGAGAACTGGTATGCAATTCAAATACATTTTCTGTCTCAGTAGGAAACAGATAAGGCATAGATGGAAGTTTACAGATATTACTGGAGTATTGTAAGGCCTATACAAAGAAAAGGCTCACTCAGTCCAAAATTGAGCTATGTTTATTGTTTTGATACATTAGAGCCAAAACATCTAGGCAATTGATATGAACTGTCATTTTGACATGGAGATCACCAAAGAAGTAAGGATTTTAAAAATATATTTGTTGCTTTTTACCAAAACTTTACTCGATATTGCTACATTTAGACAATAACTTCTAGACATCTGCTTTTACTACTGATCACCCATTTCTAGATAAAAAAAATATTTGTCACAGAATTGAACACTTGTTTTTATAGTAGTGCGTTACCTATTGAGATTGCTTTAGAGAGAGCCTGCACTTCAGCATCTACCCTTTCTAATTGAGGTGAGACATTTCATACAAGGCATATTGAGTGTGGCAACTCTAGACAAATTCCACCACCATGAGTCCCAGGGTCCTGTGGTGGCTTCAAAACTAGAGGCTAACATTAATAAGTATTTATGGCATGAGGGTGGAGTGTAGCTTTCAGCCAAGAGTGATAATTTTGGTGTTCAGCAATACATTTCCAGTAATATAATATCGTCATTATAAAAGAATCTGATTATTTAAACAACTTAGAGAGTGAGAGGGTTGGATTGAGAATTAAACCAAAGAGCTGAACATTTTATTTGATTCCCACTGTTTACTATTACCATGTAAATCAATTCTCACCCAGCCAACTAGCTAAAGTACACCTTTCAGTATCACATTTAGGCAAATGATCAATTTGGTTACAGAGATAATTAATTCTCAGATCTGGTACTCTAGTATAGCAAATATAAATAGAACATGGGGTCAATATGATGTGTTTGCACCCTCTCTTTATATCGTGCCACCACCATATGAGAAATTGCAAAGATGAATGTCTTTATTTTGACCACATAGACTGGGCACAGAGAGGCACACTCTCCCATTACTAGCTACATTCAACAAAACACTTCCCCACATATTTCTCTTTCCCAAGATTTTGTTTATGTTATTTTCTCTGCCTAAGATGCCTATAGTGGCCAGGTGGATAATATAAACTGATGAATTGATGAAATAGGCTGAATATAAGACAATAGAGAATGATAAGAACTGTGTCAAACTGCAGGGAGTACGCCTCTTCCAGAAACAGCATCAGCTACTAAGTTCCACTGAATTGTTACAATGATACCCAAGGTTGATAGATATATTCCAACCTTTAAAGAACACCCAGAAATCCAGATTTTCATGTGTGATCTCACAATTTCAAAATTCTGGCTACTGTTTTTTATAACCATAAAGGTCAACCAAAAGTGGTTACCAGTTTGTGACCTGTGACCTAGACAAATCCTCTTCTTCCTTCTTTAAGACACAGCTTTGGCGCTGGGTCTATGAAAAGCCTTTCTCCACTGATCTGTCTCCTCTGAAGTTCTACTATATTTCTAGTGTCTTTTGTGCAATATGGTGTCTATTGACTTTCTTGTGTTGTATGATTTATCTCTCTGTCTTGACTATAATCTCCTTGAGGGCAAGAACTACATGCCATCTCTAGCACAGAGTCAGGACATACTAGAGGATGCAAGGAAGATCACCAGTTACAACACAATCACAGTCAGAACAGAACCCCTGGTGAAACTCAACTGTCTTTCAATAGTTGATTCATTCAACAAACTTCTATCAGCACCATGTCAGGTGCTACGGGCTAACGTTAAAAAAAAAAAAGTGGTACCTTTGCCCTTGAGGAACTAGCAATCAAACGTTGAGTCCAAATTACAAAGAAGGTATATATAAAGTCTAAGCTACATTGTTGCTCAAAGTGCACTGCATCACTGCTGCAAAACTGTTCTAAGATAGCACTATCCAATTAGAAATATAACACAAGCGACATATGTAATTTTAAGTTTTCTAGTAGGCACATTAAAAACAAAAAAAGAAAGCGGTGAGATTAATTTTAATAATAGACTTGGTTTAACCCTATATATCCAAAGTATTATCATTTTGACATGTAATTTACAGTAAAACCTTGGATTGCGAGTAACTTGGTTTGTGAGTGTTCCGCAAGAGGAGCAAACATTTCTAATACATTTTAACTTGGCAAATGAGCGATGTCTTACAATACGAGTAGTTTGTTTCCAGAACAAGTTATGCTTGCAAACCAAGGTATTACTGTATATATTTGTAATTTAATGAAATGCTTTACATGTTTTTATACTAAGTCCTCTAAATCTAGTGTGTATTTTACTCTTACAGCACATCTCAGTTCAGACTAGCCGCATGTCCATTGCTCAGTAGTCACTTGTGGCTTGTGGATACCATATTGGACAGTGAAGCAAGAGAAAGGGAAGCTCCTTACCTTGCTGCCAAAATGGGGATTGATAAATGTCACATCCTCCAAAGTCAGTAGAATTCTGTTGGGTCCTTTAATCAACTGGATTTTATTTATATGACGTCTGAAACAAGTATATCAGAGGGTCAAAGGGGGCTGGATGTTTTACAAACCCAGGGTAATTTTCCCTAGATAGCAGTTAAAAAATATACAAGATCATTGAGAGAATAATGACACATGGTTCTTCACCATAGTATCCACAACAAAGAGAAACAGCAATCCTAGTCCTTGCAACTTGCAGAGTTACAAAGACCAAAACAGAAAAATGAAAATGCTATTGAAGAGACATCAAAAGGGAAGGATGAAGGTGCTGCATGGGGATGGTACCTGAAACCAAAAAATGATGTTTCACATCAAGGACACATTCAAAAGCGTCACCTCTCAATGCTTTTAAATAACTCGACCCCTTTTCTCATATGCTATAGTATATATTCTAATAATACCAGAACCAAGAATCATTAATCTCCATTTTATAGACACAAAATCACATTAAAGAAACAAAACAAAATTAAGCAAATTGTGTGAGATTTACCAGCCTGAGGCAGAGCTGGAACTCAAATCCTCAGTCCCTGGCTGTGGGCCCAGATTTCTGTCCACAAGACCACTTGTCTTACAAAGTTGCATGTATGCATTGCCAAAGCAACAGGTTGAAAAGCGAAAAAAATTCAATCAGTTGGTTGCTTTGTCTACACGATTCTAAACAAGTGGGCTGACTGGCTTTTTTTGTTTTTAATTTACTGAATTGGTCTCTTGTCTGAGCATTACATTGACACAGTTTAAACCTGATTCTCTCCAAGCCAACCCATTAATTTGGAGTGAATGTAATTATTTCCTACAAATCAGTTATTAGACATATAGGAGTTTACAATGTCTACCCACACAGCCAGGTAGATAATCTCAGTTGAGCAGACTAGGCTACTTGAAGACCTAGATGGAACCTTGGACTAGTCCATGTGGTTGTTTTGTTCTGTTTTGTCTTGAGGGCTCTGACAGCTAGAGTTTGGCTTCACTTTTTCCATAACCCCTTAATGGTCACCCTGTGGAATGTATTAAAGCTGAGTGCCAGAGTGGGGTAAACAAGCATTGAAGCAAAGTGCTTTGTCAAGGTGCTCTAAGAAGTCTACCATGTCACTGTAGCTTTAAATACAAGCAATCCAGTCAGTTTTTTTTTCAGTGATTCCACAGGTTTGTAAACAAACAATTAATGTGTTTCTAATTGTGTGCCAACAAATATGTCCCTTATCACTGTGGGAGCTTCTGCCCTGCAGAGAAAATTAAAAGAGCCCTGTAGTGAATTCTTGGGTAGAGCACATGAATCTTTTGGCAAAGTAAAGTATCACTCCCTAACTTATCTGTTTCATATGTGTAGTGAATTGTCTTAAAGCAGGCACACCTGTCAAAATAATCATGCTACAGAATACACTCAAGTAGACAGAGAACTGGACTCCCAATCCAAAGACCTGGGGTGTAGTGCAGATTCTGTCATTAGTTAGCCAGGTGGCCTTGGATAAATAATTTAACTCTTCATGCCCCAGTGTCCTTATCTGTTTAGTGGGATAATTGTCTTTGCATTACTCACTTTTATATAGTTGTTTTGAAAATCTAATGAGATAATGTATGTGAAAGTACTCGGAAAAGCATGAAGCACTATGACAGTGTAAGGGTTCATTATTATCATTATCATCATTAGTATTACAAAGCATGGGAGAGCTTTATAGAAAGGGGAGTCAATCTGGTTCAGATGAGGTAGAAAGGAGGAGTTCAAAGAATCCCTTGTTTTGGGGTGGTTGGGTTCTTTGCCTGTCTTTCATTTTGAAAAACCTTAAACAATCAAAATGCAGAAAATGAAGGAATAGAGAGTCACTTTCCTGCAAGTAATCACCATCTATTACAGAAACTCATCAGCCACTCAGCTTTTCTGATTGCAAGCATGGTGGGCAGAGAGAGGGAGGTAGGCAGCAAAGAGAAGGCATCTTTTGTGTTTTATTAACTAAGGAACCAAGGACCAAGTGACTCTGGAAAATAATGTGCTTCTCTCCCGTCTCTGAGTTTTCTGTGACCATTTGAAGCACCAGTCTTCTCAAACTCATGTCCCTTTACAATCATTTTAATCTCTAATCATGTCCTTCTCCAATCATTTTCTTCCCCAGTCTTCTTTTCCCTTCAGTCCACAAGCTCCAAACAAATCCCCCACCCCCCAACTCCATGTTTTTTTTTCTTTTTTCCTTCTCTTACCAAGAATTGCAGATTGGGCTCACTCCAAGCCCAAAGAACCGTTTCATTCCATGGGAAAGACCAGTAAGACCAGTCATGTGGGGTAAGGGAGCAGGGCAGAGGTGACAATTAACATAAGCAGCTGAGTGACTCCTTTTTTCAGTTTGCCATGGGATGTTCTGGCATTGGGTAGCCAGAGCCTATTACCCCTCAAATCTCCCTAGAGGGAAGCTTTTTGAGTAAACGACATTTATTTTCACGAAATATCTAATGATGTTAATTAAATACTTTATTCCTTGGCAGCAGCTAACTTAAAGACATTAAATTTCTGTTCTGAGAAGGGATATGTCACAGCCACAGAAATTAAAAGAAAAACTTCCTTTGAACTGATGATTTTATCAAGTGTGTTTTACCAATTCATAAGCTACCTACTACTAACTACTCTGTGTGGCTTCACCAAGTTTCTAATACTGGGAAGACTTTATAATAGTGGGTATTTTTTTCACAGCCATGCCAACATATTAAACATTAAGAGTAATACCTGTTATAGTTTCGATCCAGGATTTCACAGATTCACTGGAATATCAGAGCTGGAGGTGTTCTTAAAGATCATCTAATTCAACTCCTTTATTTTACAAATGAGAAAATTCTGTCCAAGAAAGGTTTAGCATCTGGCCCAAATTTACACAGCTACTTAATACACTCTAGATGTTTTTTTTTCCCCCGAAACTCAAAATAGCTCCACTCCATTCTCTACCAAGTTCATGTCACATTGTTGTCAGGACCACCCTTACAAAGTGATAACAAAGGTACAGTTTGCAGGGTGGGAGGGATAAAGTGGGAGGGTTGTAGTTGATTTCATTTTTCACTTTCCCCAAATCATCCTAACATGGGGAGGATCCAACTGTTAAAATGCAAAGATTATAAGAAAGGGGTGTCAGATTCAGCATTCTTCAGCCATTTATCCCAGATCGCGAATTAGTTCACCAGAGTAGTTGGTTACCTGTTAGGGGATCTAAGGGAAGAAGACAAAGAGTTGATAATAATGATGATGTTAATGATTAGCTAGGATAGCTTTTTTCCAAGGAAGAAGGACAGTGAAAATCTTGACTATGATACCCTGGGCAAAAGGCATGAGTATCGAAGTGAGGATTCTGGGCTATCAACACTCAGCAGGGAGAGTCCCATGTTCCTGGGAAGGAGTTGAGATTTACCAATTGTTTAGCACCTACCATGAATCAGGTATTGTTCTAGGAGCTTTACTTACTTTAGTTGATTTAATCCCTATTACAATCCTGTGAGTTAGTACCATTATCCCTAAATCTTGGATTCTAGCCGAAGTCTGCCTAATTCTTGGAACTTGTAAAATACCCCAACTCCATCCCTACAAGTCCATACCATGTGGGGGAAGGAGAAGGTTATTAGGAGGTGCTGCCAGTGGAAAACGGAGCACAGATGAGGACTAGACAGGCCCTAAAGTATCAGTTCTCTTATTTCACAATAGTGTTGAGAGCCAGATCTACTCACAGGCAACAACACTGACAACACAGCTGAGGAAGTTATTCTTGGCATCACGAAAACACTTCACCCTAAATGGGGCCAATAGGGATGGTAAATCACTATAGAAAAAAGAAAATCACTGGGTCATGTAATGAGGCAATTGTACTATAATATGACTTCCTGGAAATCAATATTAACAAGATTATTATGGCCTTATATTTTTATATACAAAAAGAACAAAAATGTACCTTATAAAGTAAGCAAATCCATTAATAGACAGCAGGGCTATAAGCAAAGCAAGGCAGACCATCATGGCAAAGGCAGGATTGATGCCTGCAGAGAACGAGAGGAAGAGGAAGAATGGCATTATCCGAGAGAGGCTATAAATAAAGGGCACCACAGAGCGACTCCTCATGCTTTCTGGTGACTCTAAAATCAAGCCACATCTACCTAACTTAATTCCATTTTTCTACGGCACAGTCTGTCTTGTTGACTTTATGGACACAGAAAGCAATTTCACTGTTCTGAAGCAAAAGCACTCACCACTCTGACAATAACAAATCACATGAATTAAGGCTGACCTGGGTATTTCTTTGGAGGAAAAAGTCCACAAATGGAAAACTTTGAGTACCCTAATTTAAGTTGGACGGCAATAGAGTTCTTGAGAATAAATATGCTATCTCACCTGTGAAGGGTAAGTATTATGTTGCCTTCATAAAACAAAAGACCTTTTTAGTTCACCTGATCCCACAGACCTCTTGAGTTATGGATGTAAAAATAGCACTGGACCTTCAAGGGTGAGCCTGGTTTTGATAATTAGTGTTTCCATCAGGATGTAAAATTGCCTCTGGAAATCTAAATATTTGGATGGGTTACTAAGATTTCAGAGGGAAATATATGATGGCATGAGTAAAGAGTTAGATGGGTATGTCATGCTAAAGCAAAATAGAAACCAAAGTCCATTTCAAATATAGTCATTTGGTTTTAGAAAGGTGCGGTGTATTACATAGGAATAGTACAGATCCTTCCAAAGTTCCCCTCTGACTCTCAGAGATTTGTTGGAGTTTCCCCTCTTCCACCAGCTAGAGGAGTTCCATCAGTCAATCAAAAGGCAAGTATTTATTGGATGCTGACTGTGTTGGGTGGTTGGGGGTGGGGGGAGCGTAAGAATTATTAGCTATGGTCCCTTCCCCTAAGGAGTGGTCTATCTGGGAGGGGGAGTTACAATCAATACACACAAAAACACTTGAAAGCAATTTTGTGCTAAGCTGTGAGGTGCAGGCTGTTTTAGTTCAATGGGAGTTCAGAAAGGAGAAGGTGTAGAAATGGCATTTCTGTGGTAGAACCTGATCACAGGATTTGGATATATCAGGGGAAGGACAGATGCTCTTTCTAGCAGGGCAAAAATCGCAGCCTACAAAAGACCCAGGAGAAGGCTCCTATCTTCCTCTTATTAGAGTACTCTTCCTGAGAGAGGGATCCTTTCAAAAACAAGTGGGGGCAGCTTTTAAATTGTGGATGATTATTCAAGACTGCAAAGTACCTCTTATTGTCATTATTTTACATTAACTACATAGAGTGCCAAGATATTTATGTCACCTGAATGCAAATGATTGATGCTATGAGAGTTCCAATATTAAAATATGCCTCCTCCTAAAGAGCTTCCCTTGTAACCCAAACAGAGCTAAATTGACTATCAGTGATTTCCCATTCCTTACCTCCTCAGCAGATCTTGCGTTCTACAAACCAGCATTTTGCATCTGCTCAAGGGGGCCCGCTTCCAGGGAAGTGAATGGGGGTCCCTCCAAACTGTAGCATCTCCATTTCCATGTCCACAGTGTAAGTACTATGGAGTTCCCATTCTTTCCAGTCGGTGTCCAGGATTACATATTCCGAAATTCCATTTCCATTTGAATCTGTTCTTATCAACTGGTTGAATCCATAGAACTGCATGTTTCTGGAATGCTGAACCAGGCTCGCAGCACTAACCTGTCCATTTTTTTTCAGAGCATTATTCATGGCTTGTGCGATAAAGTAAATTGAATTGTAGATGGTTCCAAACAATGGTGAGAACTATTTTTTAAAATTACAATTACCCTGAGCCCTAGTCACCCTAGAGTAATCGCAGAGTGTATTCCAAGCCTATGTTTATTATTATGGGTTGCATGTCTAAGTGGAGGAGAGCTATGAAGACCCAGAAGGAAAAAACACAATTGTTTCTGAGGACTTGCTTGGTTTCTCCCCTGAATTTTTCTGTGTTGCTCCCCCAGGCCTTCACATCTTTAAGTATATCAAATATGACCATTTGATGAGCAAACCAAGTCATACACAACATAGTTTTATGCTCCTAAATGAAGAAAGTGATTTAGAGTTATAAAGTTCATAAAAAAGAAAACCTACAAACCAAGAATAAATTGACAAGAGACACTCAAAGGAAAATTTTCAGGTTAATTACTGGTGTATTATGCATAGTAAAATCATTTTGCTGGCACTACTAGAATCCACAGTCCATGTCTTGTCCTGCCTTAGTTCAAAATGGCTGTTCTCCTAGACACACGCTCCCCAGAGAAAGTGAACACTAGAACACAGTTTTAAATACATACACATGCAGACATGCATACTGACACATACACACCCACAAATACAGAGCCAAATGTTGTAGTGTATGGAGGATGTGGGTTTTAATCAAGAAGCCCTATATCCTATTGGTGTGCAAAGTGACAAAGCCTTGGGGAGAAGCCACTGTTAAGCAATGAGGCTGCTACAGTGGACAGCATGACTCTGCCTGCTTTATAAATGTGGTAAAAGCAACAGCATTTGTGTACTATGCCTGATGCGCTCACTGCTCAATAAACTTGTAAGTTTATTTTTGGTACAAACCTTGTATGTTTTTCCCATAAAGGTAGAGAGGAAGAGTGAAAGATCCCTCCCTCCTTCCCCCCACATCAGCTATGGCTTCATGGTTTTCCATAACATTTCATTTCTAGGATGGAGTTCAAGAAAGCTATGGTCATGCCTTTTTACTGAGCTTCAGGGAAAACTGATACTTGCTACTTTGGTTTCACAAGGTCTAGAAAGCTATCCTCCTGTAACAACATTATCTGAATTAAAAGGTTTAAAATTGAGTAAATTGTTTTCGTGTTGGAAATACAAGTCAAGTTGCAGAGAGGTGTAGCAGCTCACAAGATACCGCCATGCCTTATTAATGTAGAACAGAGGATTTTCAAACCGGTTGCACAGTAGAAGTACCCCAGGAGTGTCAAAAATACCAATGCCAAACCCAACCCAGACCAACAAAATGAGACACTTCAGGTTTGAGTCTCAGTAATCAGCATTACTGAAAGCTCCCCAAGGATGCTAACATACATACAGAGTTTAAAACCAACAGAGTAAAAGAAACACTCGCCTATGATCTGTTCCTAACAACAGGATGTTGGTCAAATTACTTATCTGCCCTGTCTGGGCTTCAGTTTCATCCTCTCTAAAATGTAAATACAGAATCACAAATGTCTACATTTTGGAGATTATCTGGTCTAGCTATCTTACTTTCTAGATGGGAAAGGGAAACCCAGAGCAGTTAAGTGGTTTGCCAAGGTCACTGACCTAGGCATAGAATCAAGTTCTCCTGTTTCTTAGTTTAGCATTCATAATTGAAATACATGTTCCTTGTGGTCCCATCTAGTTCTGAAACCCTCTGAAATTTACCAACATTTGGTCTAGTCAAGGGACCAAATTTAGTTTGCAACATTTTTGTTTGGCCTACACAGGTGTTATTCTTCATCTCTCTGATCTTTTAACATTGGAGTGCCCCACAGCTCAGTCCTTGGTTTTCTTCTCTATCTACACTCAATCTGTTGGTGATCTCTGCTGGTCTCACGGCTTTAAATATCATATCTATGTCATAACTCTCAAATGTATACCTCCAGCTCAGGCCTCTTTCTTAAATTCCAGACTTTGATGTTTGGGTTTTTTTTGCTTTTTTAATTTTTTATTTTCATTTTTTTATTGGGGAACAGCCATGGCCATTGGTTACACATTGCTTTCATGCTACAATGGCATAGTTGACTCTTTTAGGGAGGGTTCAGTTCACAGTGGTGCATGCGGGGATTGAACCAGCAACCTTGGTGATATGAGCACCACACTCTAACCAACTGAGCTAATCAGTCACCTGGATGTTAAATTTTAATGCACCTCAAATCAAACTCCAAATCTTTACCTAAAATCCTCCTGCTCCATCTACGAGTCTTCCCCATTTTTGTTAGAAGTTGCACCAGTCTTCCAGTTGTTCTGGTCAAAAACCTTGCCTCAAATAACAGAGATATCTAATAGCAACACAGAAACCAACACCTCAGCCTCCTGGGTTTTATTCCAATGATCTCCGTTTAGCACTCTCCCTCAGCATACACTATAGAAATAGGCATGGTGAATGGATGACATGTGCTGCTGCCAAGACATCTACACTTAGTTGCCTAGCACACATTGAGGTCCCTTAAGGGGTTTTCACTAACTCTCCCTCCTGACATTCTCAGATGCTTCATTTAATTGTCTTTAAGATTTCTGCAAGAGCCTGCCTGTTTTGTGGGGCTTTGGTAGGTTATGACACTAAGTGAAAGCTGGAAGGTGGAGCATAAAATTAATACCAGTAAAACAAATGAGTAAAAAAAAACCCTATAGGGCAGCAAGCCTCTGAAAGCAGGGAGAATGCTAGTATGCCATTTTGAAAGGCACAGTGCCTTCTGGGAAAGAGACTGCATCTACCTCAAGCCAAAAGCAAAGATTGAAACCCTTAAAAACAACACCATCACCTCTGAGTTGACCCATCCCACAGGGTTTTCAGCTGGCCAGGCTATGCTGCCCTTTGTGCTCTCAGATTGACCTCTATTAGAGCTGACTGACAGCAACTCACCAAGATGACTGAAACCTGAAGCCTGTTCTTCATTCTCTAGCCTCTGCCACATAACACACACACACAAACACACACACACACACACACACACACACACACACTTCCACAAAAGTATGGTAGAAGGGCCTGAAACTAAGGGAAAGAGCATAGCTGTAGCAACAGCATTCAGTTGCAAAAGAGTGGCTGTCACAATGGCACTGCGGAGGGCTTGGATTTGTGTTGTAGCCGGTCTGTGTTCCTGTTTCACCCACTGTGCCCTTTGGCAATGGGAATTGCCCCTTCCCATAAATCAAAGGCACGCTTTGTTAGCAGTGGTCACAAAAGGTCTCTAGTCGCAGCTGCTGCAAATAATGAGAAAAAAAGAGGTAGAGGGTGGGACAAGAGAAGGAAGGCTACTCTCAACAACCCTCTGTCCTAGCTTCTGACTCCAGCTCCAAAGAAGGACAGATTTGGTAGGAACTTCTGACAGATAGATGCCCTTGTTAACATCATACCCCAGAATAGTGAAGCCACTGATGACTCAGTATATTGGTTTTGTCTGCTTATGGACCTAAACCTGAATGAAAAAATGAATTTTGAATAAATGAATGATAATTAAAACTTGTCTTTGGTTGTTATTCATTGACTTTAGTGAGCCCCACCCTAGGCTTATGGAGTGTGTGTCCAAAAGAACAAGGGCTGGGTCAAGAGCAGTGATATTTGAATTTGTTTGTGCTGTGCTTACGTTGATTATCATCAGTTCAGAGTTTTGAAAGACACAAAACTAGCTTCCAAAGAATTTTGTCCTTGGAAGCATGCATTAAAACATACCTGGTTTGGAAAGTATTGCTTGAAGGTCAAAATGGCAACGTTGCTTTTAAACAAAAAGCCAAGCATATGCAGAGATCAAGAAACCAAAGGGTAATTGAATTTCTGTTATTAAAGGTGGTACCTCCAATAATGCATAATCTCAACCCTTGGACTTAGCCAAGAGATGGCTAATAGCGCAATCTGTTTGATAGGATACCCCTCATGAACACAATACCTTTATTTTATACAGAACGGGGTACAAAAATAATGAAGTACAAAGAGCTGCAGGAAACCTTTTCTGACAACCTGTCTGGTGTGCCCCATCCCAGAATGCTCCAGTCCTAACCACATTCCCTTCAGCCTAGCACCCCCGTGCCAGGCACTCATATTTAGGGTAATAGAAAAAATAGGTGCAAAGAGTTTAAGATCCCCTGGGCTTGCTGAGAACTCCAGAGGCTTTCCTTTGCTTAGCCAAATAAGGCCATATTTGGAAAAAATATATATCCAAAATGTGTGTTCCAGCAATATGCATTTTTAGTCAACAGAATTTCATTGAAAACAAGGGAATACAATGACAGAGAAGAATGCAGGCACTAAAACCTTATTTCAGAAGTCTATTCTGTGCCAACCCTTGCCCAATCATCCTGAGACCAAAATAGGAAGTTTGTCACTGGTGTCTCTCCCCCCTAATCTCTCTATTCTGATTTATTGTTCTCTTTTCATGAGTCCTCATAGCTCTATCACCTCCTATGTCAGAGGAAAACAATCCAATAAACTTATTCAAATCAAAATATTAGTCATTTAGGAATATTATTTTGTTAGAATAAAACATTAGACATGAAACACAGTGCAAATATTTTTTAAAAGCTAATGTGTTGTTAAATGGTCAGGTTTTGGTAGCAAACTTGGGTTGGAATCCTAGCTCCACCACTTGTTAGATGTATGACCTTGGGCAAGTTACCGTGAGCCTCAGTTTCATTATCCATAAAAATGGAGATATCCATACTTAATTTGTAGGCTTGGTCTGAGTATTCGATGAGATCGTTTATGTAAACTACCATGTGCAGAGTAAGCACTGAATACGTGATAGCTGCTATTGTATGCATTTCAGAAGAGGAGCACAGGGCTCTCTCTAGTAATATCATCCTGGAAGTGCAAAGTTCAAGTCCCAGTCTTGAATTTGACCAATAAGTAATAGAGTCCCAGTTTTAGACCCAGTGTCTAAGTACTCTGAAATGGTAAAAACTGTTTCCCTTCATTGGGGAAATGTTTCTATTTTGTTCCCCATTATACCAGCTGCTGAGTGCCGGCCCATAGTAATAAAAATAACAACACCAATAATAATTGACATTTATTGAGGAGATATTAGGTGCCAGGC